GACTTTACCGAAAGAACCAAGAAGGTTGTGGGCTTGTTTGCGTATTCTGTGCCTGGCTTTATCTGCTTGCACAATACTCGACGGCTGATGCCGCGCGTTAAACAGCCACAGCACTGGGGGAGCTATCACAGAAGGTGAATCTGTCGCCAGGGAATGTTCATATTAAATTCCTCGCGCACACAATTACACGGGATTACTGCTGGAATGGCATGTCAATTGATTAATGGTATGAGCGTTATTATATAATTGTGCAAAAGAAGAAAAACAAAACTCGGTTCTAGATGCTTTTGAAATTATCTGCTGAGTTATTGAGACATGTATCCTCATGCTTACAAATAATGTATCACGACTATCCCTGCTGTTATGGTTACAGCTCCCATGAAAACTTCACTCATTGATTCCTCGACCCTGATTGAGGACTCGATCTAGCAGACTGTTTCGTGTCATCCACACTGGGGGTTACAGCAACACACTCAACCATCCATCCACTCACACACTCACTCACTCAAACTCACTCACACACTCACTCACTGACTCACACACTCACTCACACACTGACTCACACACTCACTCACACACTCACTGACTCACCCACTCACTCACCCAATACAAAGATCCCCCATATTGTTTCAACAGACTGTTGGAGCAAGTGCTGTTGGCGATAACCTATGAAGGCCGGCATGGCACACCATGTACTCGTTTGAGGCTGAGTTGACCTAGGTGAGGTCCATGACCAGTTCAGATAATCGTGCCTGGTGTTGGCCGTGAGCGTAGAAATCAAACTCGGTGGCCGGGTTTGTAGTGCAGCGCGCTAACCACTACACTACCGCTCCCCACTCACACACACTGACTCACCCACTCAGTGACCCACCCATTCACTCACTGACTCATCCACTCACCACGCTACACGCCAAAATATGTTTTCTTTCTGCGTTTTCCCTCTCACAGCTCTCACTTTGGAATTCCCTCCCTTTGCTGTATCCAAGCAACGTACTACAGTAGCTCTTCATCGATGGCGCCCTCGATAGTGCTGTTTGTTGCTGGCTACTTGGCGTTTTGAGCCTTGATCTGAGCACGTGCGTGCTGAGCGCACAGCGACCTCAAACTCGAGAACTGTGCAGCTTGACGGAGCCACTAGTCATAAACGCGCCAACCGTGCAAAGGGGGCGACCTTTTTCAAAGCCACGCGTGCACCCTGGGGTGTTCAGAATGCAGCGTTATGGTTGAGTGGGATTTCCACTAGGAGGAGCCCCAGGTCAGCCGGTTTGCAATGCATTTCGCACCAGTATTGGCCTCAACATGCTGTACAACAAGTAGTCTAGAAACACCAGCACGTTAGCGAGCGCCTATTAAGGATGGCACAGTGGTTTAGAGGCCGACACCACACGCGCTCAGGACGTCTTCAGCTCCCTATTGCTGACGTTGACCGACGCAGCACCAGGTACTCATTTGAGGCTGAGTCGACCTAGGTGAGGCTCGGGCCAGGGGCAGGCTATAATTATTGCTTGTGGCTGGGAAGTAAACGCAGGTGACTGGGATCACGTGCTTGACCAAAATTCCCCCCCAACACCACCACGATTCTGGTTCAGGCAGTAGCGTAACGAACGTGGGGACAGGGGGGGGGTACCTTGCCCCCCCCCACCCACTACCCCCTGGTGGCCAAAGCTACGAGTTGGGGCCCCCTTGACAACCACCGTGAGATTTGTGTTCAACAGCAGTGTAAAAGAATAAAAGCTACGTAATGATGTGAGCTTTACTACCCTGGCTTCACCCGATACTTGGATTCTTGTCTTGGATTAATACACGGCGGAGGGTTGGGGGGGGGGGGGTGTATGCGTGACGTCAGCAGGCACACTGCGTGACGCTGCCGCATGCGGGTGACATCACAGATGTGACGTCACCGCTCACTTGCCGTGCAAAATATATCCATTATTGCGCCCCCCCCCATCCCCCAAAATACAAAAGTGTATTTTTATAATTTTTGCATGGTGTACAGTTTGGAAAGTACCCACATGGCAAATTTCAAGTTTGTTGCATGTCGGGAAGTATGCTAAACATTTCGAACAGACACACATATTCACAAATGCCCCTTTTATATATAGATAGAAGATAGCGCAGATGCGGCCGTGCGAGACAAATCAAGCACTGGGGCCCCACCTGACCGATTGCCGCCACCCACTGAGCCGGGTCAAGGTTAAATAATTTATATTTTGTCGTCTCATTCTTTCAAATCTCATTTGTATTGTTTCATTTGCATTGTTTCATTTGCATTGTTTCATTTGCATTGTTTAATTTGTATTGTTTCATTTGTATTGATCATTTGCATTGCTTCATTTGCATTGTTTCATTTGCATTGTTTCATTTGTATTGTTTCATTTGCATTGTTTCATTTGCATTGTTTCATTTGCATTGTTTCATTTGCATTGTTTCATTTGTATTGTTTCATTTCCATTGTTTAATTTGTATTGATCATTTGCATTGTTTCATTTGTAATGTTTCATTTCCATTGTTTCATTTGCATTGTTTCATTTGCATTGTTTCACTTGCATTGTTTCATTTGCATTGTTTCTTGCCTCATTGTCTTACGTGCACAGTTTCAATTGCTGCAAAATGTACCGTAAGCTTGGAATTTGCATACCGATTTACACATCATTTGCATGCATTGCTAATTATTCGATTACCTGTTTTAATTGGTAAATACATCAATCGATATATGATTAGTCACCTCGCCCACCACAGAGACAAAGATTCCTCATATAGCCTGAACAGACTATTTGGGCAAGTGCTGTTAGTGAGCACATTTGAAGACTGGCACGGCACACGAGGGGGAAGGTGGCTGGTACCACGCCCGGCCGCCTTTGTCTCCCCAGTGGCGATGTTTACACACCGCACCAGGTACTCATTTGAGACTGAGTCAACCTTGGTGAGGCTGGGTTCGTAGCGCAGCGCGTTAATCACTACATACACGCTACCCCACCACACACACACGCACACACTGTAATACATACAACAGAACATATGCACACGTGTGAACAGATGAAGACTGTTCATGCTCTTGTTCCACGTATTGTTTACGAATGACGGAACCCATGCTTAAGTGTGATAGGTTGCTATTCGTGATTTTGGCCTATCTGCGGATCGCACGACGACTGCACCAAGAGAGAAAGAGAGAAACGAAGTAGAATGTGTCGAGATAAAGTGATGAGAGAGAATGGGATGCGAGAAAGTGATGCAGATCAAGCCATGCGAGAAGAAAGTGATGAGATAAAGTGATAAGAGAGAAAGTGATGAGTTGCATTATTTATTCATGTATTTATTTAAGGTAATTCATTACAAATGATGAGCATCTCAGGGACATATCCCGCGTGAATAACGAGGGAATACTGCAATAATACAGCAACAATGGCGATGGTATTTTTTTTTCCAAATTCCTGCCACTCTCCGTGCACCAGAAAATATCCGTTGCTTAGAATTCTCCTGCTTTGAGATTCAGGTGTAGGGCTGCTGCTACCTGTGAGCTAAATAAATCCAGGACATATAATGAGAAGAAGGATATCTCACAATTCCGAAAGAGGAGAAAACTACATATAAATGCACTGTCTGGTCTTGAGTGTCGTATCATTACGCAACGGATGCAAAAAAAAACCCTAAACTTTATACATCCCGGTAAGGCTTACAGACTTCCCTGCACGGCAACTTCAACAAGTGGGACGAGCCTGGGAAACAACCAGGACAGGTGACAACCCACGACACAATGACTCTTGCAGTCACTTCAATGGGTTTCTCCAGCCCAGCACCATTCGGCGTTCCTTCCTCTCTCACAAGCGCACATGGACGCTCGCGCACAGAGACAAACACACAGAGGGTTCGCCTTCCAGACGTATGAATTGGGGCAGTATGCAGGAGGTCGTGAGTTTGAGCCCCAAACCCTCGCGATGCCTGTATATTTGGAGTTTGCGTGTCTCTCTCCCCTTGGTTGCGTGGATTCTTCTCTGGGTCCTCCAGTTTTTCCCTCCGCATTTATAAACATCCGTTTAGAGCATTTGGCCGCGATACATTTCCACGTGATGAGCGACTTCGTTGGAGATATCATTTGTGGCCATGTTGCTACTGGAAAAGTGCGACGTAGCTCAGTGGGTTGTACCTGGCAAAACACATGAATGCAATTGCATTGTTGGGGCAAAGCGCCGTGAGCGAACGTCTATTGAGGCCGGTATGCCAAAGGCACTGCTGTGACGCACACCCCGTCCCGCTGCCCACCGGAACCGCCACCTTTTGTCTCCGCACGACAACGCTGTTGACAACGCTGTGCCGTGTGCCGTGTGCCGTGTGCCGTGTGCCGTGTGCCGTGTGCCGTGTGCCGTGTGCCGTGTGCCGTGTGCCGTGTGCTTACTTAAAGGCTGCATCAACTTTGGGGGAGACCCATAATCCAGGTTTAGATAACAAGTGTCGCCAGCGAAACAGGTGAGGAGCTAGGAATTGAACGCAGCTGATTGGTAGTTCTACCATGTCACTAATTTCCCGACCATATATACCCACACAGGCTCACACAAGGATAGATATCCCCTTCAACTCTTGTCTGCCGTCGAGGTAAGTGCTGTTAGCGATAGTTCATCAACGCTTGGTGGGGTCGAGTGGCCAGCACCACGTCTGGCCACCTTTGTCTCCCCAGTGACGATGCTTACACACCGCATTGGGCACTCATTTGAGGCAGAGTCGACCTAGGGGAGGCCCATGACCGAACTCAGGTCCACCGGGTTAGTAGCGCAGCACGCTAACCGCTACACGACCACTCCCCACACATATCCACACCGGTTGAATACATACACACACGTTCACTCGCGCAACGTACACACACACTCCTAAATCCATGGCCAGGAATCAGACCCAGGTGGCCGGGATTGCAAAGGCAGCGCATGGGCCATTGCGTCACCGTTGCACCGCGCAAGCACGCACGCACACGCACACGAGCGCACGCACGCACGCACACGCGTACTCGCCTGAACGCATTTCACGTTGATGCCGGGGCACACGAACTTGCACCAGATGAGCCGCGCGTTCCATTCCCCGCACGTGATGGCGTAAGTGGCTCCTTCCCCAGGGCTGGCGGTCACCGTGGGGGGGCCTGCTTGCACGCACGCAGAACCACGTGGGAGGAACACACACGCGCGCGCGATGAGTAAGCACGCGCAATAAACACAACCTTGCACAATGCTGCGCGCACAGACGACGAATATCCACTCCCCTGCCGCTTTCCTCGCACCGGCCGTGCCCACCTGCTCAGAACTGTACTGGCTTTAGATTCCTGTTCGGGCGGGTGCAGTGCACAAAGGTTGTGTGTGACCAGCACCACAGCCTTTGTCTTCTAGTGCTGAGGAGTACACACCTTAACAGGTACTTATTTAATGCCGAGTCTGCTTAGGGGAGGGCCCAGACAAATTCTTACATTCCTCCCCACTGATATTTGCCATGGCCGGGAATCGAACCCAAGCTCACCACCAGCTCCAGGGCACCGTGCGCCAACCACTGCACCACCGCTCCCCACACAATAAAAGTGACAAAGATCTCCCATATAGCCTTAACTGAATATCGGGGCAAGCACTGTTAGCGAGCACCTATGACGGCTGGCCCGGCATACCAGGGGGTGGGTGGCCAGGACCACGTCCGGCCACCTTTATCTCCCTAGTGGCGATGTTTACACACAGCACCAGGTACTCATTTGAGGATGAGTCGACCTAGGGGAGGCCCAGGACCGGTTCAGATAATCGTTACTGGTGGTGGCCATGAGCAGGAATCGAACCAGGGTGTCCGGGTTCGTAGCGCAGCGCGCTAACCGCTACACCACCACTCCCCACACGATAGAACGTGATGGCGTAAGTGGCACGCACACACACCACACCCACGTCCCCATATACAGTACAATAGGCCATGCGTTATAGCAAAGAGCAGCACTTAGACCGGTCAGTGCCGTTGGTCAGCGCCCATTAAGGCCGAGTGGACAATGCGGCTTGGGTCACGTCGCTCACTCCTTCACCTCTGTGGCCCGCGCACCCACGTGCATCGCCCACGCACTAGGGATGGATGATTTGGGGAAAATATCTAATTGTGATTTTTCTGACAGATATTGCGATTTGATTTGCGATTAAATTTTTTTAAATCAAGCTTCAGTTCAATATTTATTGTGTCATATATTTAAACACGTGATGGAGCATTACCACACGATACCATAAAAACAGGAACTGCTCTATATATTCTAATGCAAGGATGAGAACTTTAAAATATATGAATTGCTTCAAACGTGTCTTTATTAAAACAATCAAACATAGAACAACTGTTAAGTTAAATACATAAAGTTATAATAATAAAATATGAAACAATTCCAATACGAAAGTAATAGGACTTTTCAAATCGCCAAAAATCGCAGCCTTTACGATCTGCTTATCGCATTATTTCAAATTGCGATTTCGATTTTAAATCGATTCATCGTTCAGCCCTACCACGCACCCTAGTTGTGCTCGCTTTTGGGCCGAGTCAACTTGGACCGCCGTCCAAGCGAAGTCGGGACAGGCACACCACGAGCGGACGGTGACGCGCACGGCCACCGAAATTCAACGTGGAACTGGTTTATATATAAAACAAAAACTGGAGGCCATACATCATTTAATTTCACGCTTTCTGGTCCGTGTAAGCATTGGCATGATGGCAATCGCCATTTACGACAACCGTCACCCGAGGAGGGTTCCTTTGCAGCGGCGCCGCCAATAATACCAATAACAAACAGCACGGCCAGGTATTGTGTAATCATATTCTTGTAATCCAGACACTTGAATGGGTGGGGTGAGTGGATCATTCAGAGATAACGCCATCGTGTTTGTGATCAATACGTGATGTGTTGGTTACGTTAAAATGGGTTAAAATATCAGCTTGCCTTCTACAACTGCCTAATCTCACTACTACATAATCTCACAACTGCATAATCTCACCACTACATAATCTCACAACTACACAATCTACGACTACATAGTCTCACAACTTTTTAATTTAACTACATAATCTACAACTAAATCATCTCACACCTGCACAAATCTACAACTACACAATCCCACAACTAGATAATTTAACTACATAATCTACAACTAAATTATCTCACAACTGCAAAAATCTACAACTACATAATCCACAACTATATAATCTCAAGAAAATGTGCCTCTCTCACACGCTGCTCACAATTATGATGTGTGAAAACGTCGCGGTGGTCATCGTGAGCACGTTACAACGGTAGCAGTGCAATCACGCGATGTTGGAGGCAGGCAAACGTGATCACAGATACGGAGATGTACAGAGATAACGACTGAAGACGTCAATCAGCAACATCGTCGTTATCTCCAAATAAATAAAGTCACTTAAGTGATGGTGGGGATTTGCTTTTCTGCATGACAAGGCTCCCAGCAAACTGTTTAAAGGATTAAATAATCCCCCGCGATTTGGAAAGCTACGTGAAATAAAAGTTAACTGCTTTGAATTTCACCATTTGGTTCACGCGACAACAGAAAATCGTTGGCATGCTATCGGACAAGACCAATTTTTTTACACGTGGATTAAAAACTTGTTCACATTGCATTATAACGCGCGTGTCATTTATCACCACAGCACCGTATGGCATGTTTAAGAGTGTTGGCGCAGCCGTTAACGCACTGGCGCTATGAAGCCGAGCACCCTGGGTTCAATTCCTTCCCACGCGTAACATCTGTGGCAAGTGACTTTTGAACCGGTCCAATGGTCAAACAACCCCCATATCATCAACGCGATGTAGGGGGCCCTTTATCGAATGGTGGATTGACAAAGGGCATTACATTATTATTGGTATGATTATCCATCCATGAAACCTGAGTCTCAATAGTCTCTTTTCAGCAGGGTCCAACTTTTGAGACGTAAGCCTAGTTACATTTAGTGTGCAGTGGGGCTGTACGTGTGGTTGGCCTATGAGAAAATCATCCGGAATGCGTCTCAACTAAAAAAACGAAAACTATTTTTAATTTACCAGTTGAGGCTCACTGAGCTGCATGGCTCGTTTTCAGAAGCGACCTGGCCACAAATGATAGCTCAACAAAGTGGCTCACCACGTGGGGATTCATGAGCAGACAAATACCCTAAACGCACGATGCTTCTAAATTGTGGAGGGAAAAACAAAAATAATCTGGAGAAAAATCCACGCGACCACGGGGAGAGCACGGAAACTCCACATATACAAGAGTCATGGTCGGGATCAAACCCACGACCTCCTGCATACCAGCCGAGGGAGATAAGAACTCGCCCCTGCGGGTTCTGTGGTTGGATCTCGGAGGCTAAGCAGGGCTTGGGCCAGGAAAGTCCTTGGATGGGCGACCACCGTGCATACATTATATACAATTATCTGTTATAGTCACTGGAGGCTACTTGTTGGGCAGCAGAGGGCAGTACGGCCAAAATCAATTGCTGCAAAGCACTGCATTCTCTACGCTCCCACTGCTATGCTGCCTGCCTTCACCAACCCGTAATGACCAGCTTGGTGAAGTATGGTCAAATACTCCCATAACACGGACAGCATGGAGAGGTCCTCATCCAGCAGTGGATAGATATAGCACACACACACACAGGCGCACATGAATGTGTTTACTTGTGGATGCTTTCGCTCTGCAAACCGCACTGCTGCAAAGATTAAAATAAAATGTTGCAATCATACCAACCACAATCCCAGCAATGTGCTTGCAATGAGTACTTGTTATGAGCTGGAAAGGTACTCCTTTTAGGCTGAGTCCACTTTAGGGGACACAACATCGGCACCCCAACACACACGCACACAATGAACACGTGGGACACACAGCGCCTTACCGCGCAGAACGCACAGGCACATACCATTACCACACACAAAGACAAAGATCCATCGTGTAGCCTTCACAAACTATTGAGGCAAGTGTTCTTAGCGAGTAGCACCTATGAAGGCAGGAACGGCACACGAAGGGAGTGTGTGGCCAGCACCACGCCCGGCCGCCTTTGTCTCCCTAGTGGCGATGTGTACATGCTGCAACCAGGTACCCGTTTGAGGCTGAGTCGACCTAGGGGAGGCCCATGACCGGTTCAGATTCATTGTTACTGATGGTGTTGGCCGTGAGCGGAAATAGAACTCGGGTCGCCGGGTTCGTACCCACCCCCACACCATTACCACACACACACACTGAGCCTCACACACACAGCCTCACACACACACTCAGCCTCACACACACACACTCAGCCTCACACACACACACAACCTCACACACACACACTCAGCCTCACACACACACAGCCTCACGCACACACACTCAGCCTCACACACACACAGCCTCACACACACACACTCAGCCTCACACACACACAAAGCCTCACACACACACACTCAGCCTCACACACACACACAGCCTCACACACACAGCCTCACACACACTCAGCCTCACACACACACTCAGCCACACACACACTCAGCCTCACACACACAGCCTTACACACGCACTCAGACTCACACACACACAGCCTCACACACTCCCTCAGCCTCACACACACACTCAGCCAACACACGGACTCAGCCAACACACGCCCACACACGTGTGCACACAAACGCCTCGCGTAGCACTCTGCCTGTGAAAGACACACATGCACAATCACACACACACAAAATATACACACACACCCTCACACCATTCACTCTCAAAAACATACACACGTACGCACACACACACATGCACACTCACATGCACAATCACACACACACAATATATACACACACACCCTCACACCATCCACTCTCAAAGACATACACACGTACGCACAAACACACACAAAATATACACTTACGCACACACTCACACCATCCACTCTCAAACACATACACACTACCGCACACACACACACATGCACACACACATGCACATTCAGCACAATAAATAAAGACTTGCACACGTACATAAACAAACACGTACACTCAACTGAATAACACGTTAATACTTCTATACACGCACACGTACACGCACGCTCTCGCTCACACACTGACATACACACACAACAACAACAACAAACACGTGCACGAACAAAGGTGTAAAAACAGCAGCCGCTATTCGCACACGAAGTGGCGGTGACGTCACCACAGGGCTTGTGCCGGGCTAGGTGCACTTTCAGCCAAGTGTGAGAAGCTGGCTGCGAGCAGGCGTTCACGGGACAGGCCCAGGTGCTATGGCTTAAGTGACAGAGTTGACTGGCAGATGCACCACCAGGTGCTCCCCACTGTGCCACACAGATGTGCTCAAACGAACGCACATCATTCAAGCGTTCAATCATGCGCAAAGACCCCCCGTGTAGCCTTAGCAGAGTGTTGAGGGCAAGCACTGATAGCAAGCACCTAGTCGGCCAGCATGGCACACGAGGGGGTGGGTGGCCAGGACTACGTCCAGCCGCCTTTGGCTTGCCCAGTGGTGGTGTCTACACACTGCTCCACGTACTCATTTTAGGCCGAGTTGACCTAGGAGGGAGGCTCAGGATTGGTTCAAATATCACTTGTTGTTGGGGGGGGGGGGTCGAACTCAGGTCTCTGGGTTCGCATAAGACTATATGGTCAATAGTTTGGGTTGCACGGCGCAACCAAGTGACTTATCATGGACAGGCCTCATATGCATTGCTTTAAACACGTACCATCAACACCGCAATGTGCGATTGTGATACAGAAAGCGATGCTTTTTGTGTTAACCTATGCAGGAAAGCTTCCATCGCTGAATCTCAATGCGTGATCTCAGGAGGAGATGCTGCTTCAGATGTATGGCCAATTTCCCCCTTTTGAGCCGTTTCTGTGTTGAAGGAGAGACGAGACATGAACCCGCGACATTCATTCAGGTCACGCGAACGAATGAGCCCTCTGAGCCAATTAACGTGAGTCAATATCCCGTGGTGAACGACGGTCACCCACCATCGTGATGTGTTAACGCAACGCAATGGCTCTCCAACACACCGGTGTGCTGTGCTCGTGACGAATTGGCCACGTTCTGTTTACGTGACAACCCTTACTAGTTGGCTGTGTCGGGTGGTGACGGGTTTTAACGACACATTTATAGATGTACGCGAACTAACCACACAAAAAAACCTCTATGATGGGCAATGCAATGGGCTTCATTATCCCGATCTCAACAACAACAACAAGAAACTCGATTGACTTAGCATGGCACGTCCATCACAGACGACCGCGACCGACTAATGTCAATTCCAATTATGGTTCTTGAAGGGCTATAAAGCTGAAACTTGGCACAAATGTCGCCAAAGGCGTATGCATGACGGTGACGGTCATGATTTATAAGGCCACTTTTTATACGCGGTGGGTGGCATGACCGGTTCAGGTATCACTCACCGCTGATTTTAGCCTTGGCCAGGAATCGAACTCAGTTGGCCAGATTCCGAGCGCCGTGTGGACATAACTGGGGGAAATCTGAAAATCAACGATGGTTCAATTTGGGCTTGTTGCTTCGTTTTCACTCGGAGAGCAGCTGGGTCAAGCCTACAAGGTTCTCCAATGCTTTCAGTCTGGCGATAAAGACTTGCAACATCATATAGACAGACCAGTGTTCTTACATCTTCACTGTAAACCAGGTGAGTCTATGGGCCCCAGGTGAGTCTGTAGACCAGTGTTCTTCACTCATCTTCACTGTAGACCAGGTGAGTCTATGGGCCCCAGGTGAGTCTGTAGACCAGTGTTCTTCACTCATCTTCACTGCAGACCAGGTGAGTCTATGAGCCCCAGGTGAGTCTGTAGACCAGTGTTCTTCACTCATGTTCACTGTAGACCAGGTGAGTCAATAGGCACCAGGTGAGTCTGTAGACCAGGTGAGTCTATGGGCCCCAGGTGAGTCTGTAGACCAGTGCTCTTCACTCATCTTCACTGTAGCCCAGGTGAGTCAATGGGCCCCAGGTGAGTCTGTAGACCAGTGCTCTTCACTCATCTTCACTGTAGCCTAGGTGAGTCAATGGGCACCAAGTGAGTCTGTAGACCAGTGCTCTTCACTCATCTTCACTGTAGATCAGGTGAGTCTATGGGCTCCAGGTGAGTCTGTAGACCAGTGGTCTTCACTCATCTTCACTGTAGATCAGGTGAGTCTATGGGCTCCAGGTGAGTCTGTAGACCAGTGCTCTTCACTCATCTTCACTGTAGATCAGGTGAGTCTATGGGCTCCAGGTGAGTCTGTAGACCAGTGTTCTTCACTCATCTTCACTGTAGCCCAGGTGAGTCTATGGGCCCCAGGTGAGTATGTAGACCAGTGTTCTTCACTCATCTTCACTGTAGACCAGGTGAGTCTATGGGCCCCAGGTGAGTCTGTAGACCAGTGTTCTTCACTCATCTTCACAGTAGACCAGGTCAGTCTATGGGCCCCAGGTGAGTCTGTAGACCAGTGTTCTTCACTCATCTTCACTGTAGATCAGGTGAGTCTATGGGCTCCAGGTGAGTCTGTAGACCAGTGCTCTTCACTCATCTTCACTGTAGACCAGGTGAGTCTATGGGCCCCAGGTGAGTCTGTAGACCAGTGCTCTTCACTCATCTTCACTGTAGACCAGGTGAGTCTATGGGCCCCAGGTGAGTCTGTAGACCAGTGCTCTTCACTCATTTTCACTGTAGACCAGGTGAGTCTATGGGCCCCAGGTGAGTATGTTGACCAGTGTTCTTCACTCATCTTCACTGTAGACCAGGTGAGTCTAGAGCAGGTGAGTCTGTAGACCAGTGTTCTTCACTCATCTTCAGGGGGCGGGGGGCATTTTCGCCGATAAGACATCATCAGTGTGAGGGGCCGCCGCACATTTGAAACCATGGGGGGGTTTAACAGCAGCACGATGATGATGATGGGGGTTGTTTTCACATTTTATTTATTGTCGAGGGCCCCATTAAAGGCCACCAGGGGGCCGTCAGTGGCCCGCGGGCCTTGCAATGAAGAACCCCACGATCAGTGGACCGAGTAATTCGCCTCCCGTGAAGTGTGACGCTAAAGCCGATAGAAAACGGGCAAAGTCTGCTTCCGGCTACTGGTACTGTATACGTACAGTAATACTGTGTACGTTACAGTACACAACTCGGTCGAACAGTCAATACAAGCAGGGCTGTCAGATAACGGCAGTTGTCTTGTGGAAATACGTGCCCCCTGCCATAGCAATGTGGAAAAGGCAATGTTGTGGGGAGCGGTGGCGCAGTGGTTAGCGCACTGCACTGTGAACCTTACGACCTGAGTAATCTACACTGCCTCCGTCTGACATGCGTGAGTGGCGAGTATTTGAACCGGCCTTGGCCCTCCCTCTATACTTTCCACCCCACTTCATCACGCCACACTGACCAGCGTGGTGAAGTATGGTCAAACAACCCCCAGACGGAGGCGAAGAGGTTTTAATCCAAGGGGTCGGATTCACAAAGGACTGTGGCATGTACACAGATGGCCCTGTGTAAGTGGAACGCTCCGTGTGCGTTGTGTGTGTGAGATGCTTGCGCCCATCGTAGGTGCTCGCTAACAGCACTTGCCCCGGCAGTCTGTTGAGGCTACACGGGGGATCTTTGCCTTTGATGCCGTGCCCATCAAAAGCGGGGGAGCGGTAGCGTAGCGGTTCAGCGCACTGCGCTTACCCGAGTTCGATTCACGCTCACGGCCAACACCAGTGGCGATGATATTATCTGAACCGGTCCTGGGCCTCCCCTAGGTCGACTCAGCCTGAACTGAGTACCTGGCGCGGCGTGTAAACTTCCACCACCGGGGGAGACAAAGGCGGCCGTGTCGTGGCCGGCCTTCATAGGTGCTGCCCGCTAACAGCACTCGCCCCAACAGTCTGAAGGCTACAACGGAGGGGGGATGATCTCTCTGCCTTTGATGATGCGGCCATCATAATAAACAAACAAAAAAAAGCAGCGCACACACACACGCGCGCACCATCCATCACATTCGCATCCCTGTCACGCCACGGGGCCCCCTTACACGGCACGGACACACGGTCGCGATGTGAATCATCAACATCGCGAACCAGACGAGATCCGGGACAGAAACACACACAAAAACAACCTCCGTCGACATCGGCGAACGACTCCAGCAGCAAAGAAGGTCCAGCCGCTGCTGCTTGTCTTAGTGTGCCAACAACGTGGCTTGAACACAAAGATTAATCATTCACCCCCCTATCATATGTAGTCTTAATGACATACTTTCGGGGCAAGTGCTGTAAGCGAGCATTGCACATGTGAAGACCGGCGGGGTACATGAGGTTGGTTTGGTGGCCAGCATCACGCTCGACCGCCTTTGTCTCTCCCGTTGTGAGTATACACACACGGCATTGTGACAGATTGCGAGCGTGGGATGTGATGTGGTGTGTGTGTGTGCTTTGAAACTCACCAGTCGTCGTGTCTTTGGTCTTTTTCACGTGGCACTCCATCGATGGATGGGCACAGCGCGTGCCAGGAAAGAAACAACGCACACACGTGCGTGCGTGTGCAAGTGTACACGTGGGTACGTGTGCGTGCGAGTGTATACGCACACACACAAGTGTGTGTGTGCAAGTGTATACGCACACACACGCACGTATAGACGGACGGACGAACCGCACTCACAAAGAAACCAGTTTCATCACAGCCTTAAAAGATCTCTCGCACCGCTCCATAAAGGCCAGCAAAGTATGTCTATCCAAGTGAGCTTTGGAACAACAACAACAAAAACAGGAACAATAACAACGACAACACTCTGAACGGGTAGCTACCTCCGTCGCCACCGCTGCTGCTATGAGCTTCGCACGCACGCACGCACTCCCCTCCTACAAACACGCGCACGCAGACGGGGGCGGAGGCAGTCTGGGCTGACACGGAGACCCACGGCACTCACGCACCCCACACGCGCACACACACGCACGCACACACACACGGGAAGAGGGGAGATGTTGGAGGCTGAGATGAGTGATCTCTCTCAAGACAGCCGCGCGCCTTCCCTTCCCCGCAATTGCACGCGGAGCCTCGAGACAACTGGGGACGGGAGAAGAGAGAGGGGAGGAGGAGAGGGGAGGGAGAGGCAAGGGGAGATGGACGAGAGGCAAGGGGAGAGGGAGGAGAGAGCGGGGGGGAGAGAGGGAGGTGGAGGAGGAGGGGGAGGAGTGGGGCGGTGTGAGCGGACTGCGGGTCTGGGCATGCGGCCAAGCGTGGCTTGGAGTGGCGTGCCAGCACGCACGCGCACGCATGAACACACACGCACACACACGCACGCACACACTCCATCACGCACGTACACCGTCTCACGCATGTGCACACGCACACTCCCACACACAAAAACTCATGAGCACACACACACTCCATCACGCACGTACACCCTCTCACGCATGTACACACGCACACTCCCACACACACGCACACATACACAAACTCATGAGCACACACACTCCATCACGCACGTACACCCTCTCACGCATGTGCACACGCACACTCCCACACACACGCACACATACACAAACTCATGAGCACACACACTCCATCACGCACGTACACCCTCTCACGCATGTACACACGCACACTCCCACACACACGCACACATACACAAATTCATGAGCACACACACACTCCATCACGCACGTACACCCTCTCACGCATGTGCACACGCACACTCCCACACACACGCACATGTACACAAACTCATGAACACACACACGCTCCATCACGCATGTACACCCTCTCACACACCTACATACCCACACGCACACAAACTCATGAACACACACTCCATCACGCACGTACACCCTCTCACGCATGTGCACGCGCACACTCCCACGCACACGCACACAAACTCATGAACACACACACACGCTCCATCACGTACACACACAAAGACTAAGATCCCCCGTATAACCTTTAACAGACTGTAGGGGCAAGTGCTGTTAGCGAGCACCTATGAAGGCCGGCACGGCACACGAGGGGGTGGGTTGCCAACGCCACGCCCGACCACGTTTGTCTCCCCAGTGGCGATGTTTACGCTCCGCACCAGGTATCCATTTGAGGCCGAGTCGACCTAGGGAAGGCCCAGGACCGGTTCAGATAATCGCCACTGGTGTTGGGCCGGGAATCGAACTCGGGTAGCCGGGTTCGTAGCGCTGCTAACTGCTACACTACCGCTCCCCACTATACACACACATACACATACACACGCTCACACACACACGCTCACACACACACACAGGCTCACACACACACATAGACTCACACACAGGCTTACACACACACAGACTCACACACACGCCCACACACACAGGCTCACACACACACAGGCTCACACACACACAGGCTCACACACACACACAGAGAGGCTCACACACACAGGCACACACACACAGGCTCACACACAGGCTCACACACAGACACACACAGGCTCACACACACACACAGGCTCACACACACATAGAGAGGCTCACACACACACAACTCATGAATAAGCACTCCAGCACGCACGTGCACTATCTCGTGCACAAATATAGTACACACAAAGATAAAGATCCCCCGTATAGCCTTAACAGACTGTAGGGGCAAGTGCTGTTAGCGATCACCTATGAAGGCCGGTACTGCACACGAGGGGGGTGGGTGGCCAACACCACGCCCGGCCGCCTTTGTCTCCCCAGTGGCGATGTTTACACATCGTACCAGGTACTCATTTGCGGCTGAGTTGACCTAGGGGAGGCCCAGGACCGGTTCAGATCATCGCCACTGATGTTGGCCGGGAATCTAACTCGGGTAGCCGGGTTCATAGCGCAGCACAGCGCTGACCGCGACACTACCGCACACGCAAAGTCGCATAACTGATGCATGTGTACTGCCTTTTTAAATCCTTTATTAAGTTCGCTTGCTTGCTTGCGTGCTTGCGTGCTTGCTTGCTTGCTTACGACCGTGCAAATCTTTCGCTAGTTTTTTAACCCACTTCCCGTGATCCAATCGAGCTGACATTTTCCACACAGACTCGTTGTGTATGACAATTAATGTTCGTGAAAAATTTTTTCAAAAATTTTACACTGTTTAGGGAAAACAAATTAAATATTTAATTACCAATTGCTTAATACTGGCAGACAATCATCTGACCCATAGGTGGCAGCCATCTCAAGCCAGAGGACGAGAGGACTCTAGCCGCCACGCATATAAAGGATTTATAGTGAAAAACTTTGTTTTTACGGGTTATACTTATTTGTATTTGGATTGTCAGCCAACACCGGTTACAACCCGAAGTCGAGATACACCGATTGTTCTTTTTTAGCCCCGCCCACCCCCCAACACGTTCCATTCACTGGCTACCACATTCAGACAAGCCCCTCCCCCCCTCCCCCTTAACTTGTATTTAAGAGCTTGTCTCTTGGAATTTTGCCTCACTTGACGGTCCCACCTGATGACGGAGACTTGTGTTGCCTCCGAAACGTCGTGATTTTTATTATTTTATTTCTATTATTATTTCTATTATTATTATTTTTTATTTTTTACCTACGTGACTTTACCGGAAAAAAACCCTAAGAGTATGATGCATGTGTAGTGACACAGCGCCGACTGCTGTACAGCAGCAGCAACTGCACTGGACACGAAGCGCACACGCCGCTGGGCACACACAAACACGCACATGCGCTGCGTGTGTGTGTGTGCCGGCAGGGCGGAGGAACTGGGGCAATGCCCCCGGTAGACCTCGTGGGGAGGGCCCCCTGGAACCCCGTGGTGAGTTTCGAGAAGGGAGGCCGAGGGGAATAGAAGCGGCGGAGAGCTCCGGGATGACGGTTCTGGGAGTGGACTCGTCTCAGTCGACGGTTCATCACGGACAGGGTCGTGCCTGGGACGGTCTCGTGTCTGGGACAGCGTGATCGTGAGAGAGGGGTGAGAGGCCGGAGTTGGTGGCACACACACACACACATGTGCCTCGAGCAGAGGTCGCAAACGGGTTTTGATTCCTTACCCGTACCCGTACCCGGCCGCACCAGGGTCGCAAACGGCTACCCGTACCCGGCCGGGTACGGGTAGCCGGGTATCGGGTAGGATACGGGTATCGGGTACCCGGTTGCGACCTCTGGCCTCGAGGGAAAAGAAGAAGAGCACACTCTATCACGCATAGTACGCACACTCATGCATATGCACAGTACACACGCGCACACACACACTCATGAATGCACATCGCTCAAACGCACACGCTCATGCATGCATGTACAGACACGCACATATAAACATACATACAAGCACACGTACACACACAACGTCATTATTACCAATTCATTTACGCACCCGTACATATACACATTCACGCATACGAACACAATATTTTCATACATACGCACAGACATACATACAGACATACACACTATCATGCATATTCCATCACGCATGCGTACGTAGACTCGTGAACACAGGCATACAAAAGACAAAAACAAAGATCCCCCCCCCATAGCCTAAACATACTTGCGAGGGGGTGGGTGGCCAACACCACGCCCGGCCGCCTTTGTCTCCCCTGTGCCGATGTTTACACTCCGCACCAGGCACAGTCAACTCTTGAGTCGACATGGGGGAAAGGCCTGGAACTGTGGATCAGTTGTTCGCCACTGAATGTTGATCGTGAGTCGCGGTTGAACTCGGGTCGCCGGGTTCGTAACCACTGTGCTACCGCTCAACATACGCAGACTTATCCATACACGTACGGACAGGCTCACGTGTACACACACGTTCGTGATAAAAAAAAACACACACACTCATGCATATGCATAGTTGTAAACGCTCATACATATAGACACATTCATGCATGCACACAAACACAATCTCGCCCATACACACACTTCTACGTATCCATGCATATTCATACATAAGCTCATACACACCTACACTCGTATATACACAGACGCACTCTTATTCATCCAAAGCCATGCGCCACTAAGTGGTGGTGATATCGCCACGATGCTCGTGCCAGGCTAGGTGCACGAAGAGGCCACGTGAAATGTTGATGGCTCACTGGCAGCGGGTCGTGGAACAGATCCAGATGTTATGCGTCGACTGCTCGAGATGACTGGCAGATGCATTGCTAACGCTTCCCACTGTGCGAACTCGCTGTGTGTGTTATGGCCACCCAGTTCTCTGTTCGTTATTTTGAGCATTTCTCCTCCGTCTTCATTGCCAAGTGCAATCAGCTTCATGTCCTCCTGTGCCACAACGGGTCATCTGTGCTCGAGCCCATGCCATGCCTGCGTAGCTCCATCTATCTGGCCTAAGAAGAAGCTGTTTGGGCATGCTGCAGCCTTGGCTGATGGAGGAGTTCACTGATGGCACTATCTTCTTGGTTCTTTCGGTAAAGTCACGTAGAAGGGGAATAATAAAATAATAAAAATAAAACATAATAAAATAATTCTCACGACGTTTCGGCCACAACGCAACGAAAGAACCAAGAAGATGATTCCCTGCAGTCTCGAAAGCTTTAAATCGAAATTTGATGGCACTATGTTCAGATCTTTCAATTAATCTATAAGCCCATCACTCAACTCAAATGTTGTTAAGCCTTCCAGATAGGATTGTCGGCAGAGAAAGCGTGAATATTTCAAGCTGGTGCATATTTTCCTGTCCAAGAGTCCGCGTTTCACAAGCACAGATAAGAGAGGACATGATTATGGTGAGAAGCCACAGAGCGTGATGTGGAGTGGCAGGCCAAGCAGTTTCCCAACATCGTTACACAACTGATGCATGGATAATGCTGCACAGCGGATTAGGTATGAGACCTCCTCTGTCAAACAACAACAGGCCACGAGCGCATCGTCATTGTATGGAAAGGCTCTACCTGTCCCCTGATTTGTTCTGGTGTGGCTGATAGGCCTCACATCTTAGCAGAATAACTCCAGGTTCCATAGAGATATCTCCAACTACTTCTCAGAGTGAGCAGAAATCAGCAAGTGATCAGCATACATACAATGCTTAACTAGTAGGGAGCAATCCCTGGACCACACATGGTCCTCAATCAGCCTCTCAT